ACAAACTTTACTCCGGCTTCTCCTCCTCCTCCTCCTCCTCCTCCTCCTCCTCCTCCTCCTCCTCCTCCTCCTCTCTCCTCCTCCTGGTGCTGCTGCGCTGCTTCTCTTCCTCCTCTCCCTCCTCCTCCTCTGAGGAAACAAACAAGGCCACTCAGTAACTGTAGCAGAGTAACCGCCGCTGCGCCGCGCCGCGCTGCGCTGCGCTGCGGAGGTTGGCTGAAGTGGTGGCCGGGCTCCAGGCTCCGTGCCCCGGCCTGTCTCTCGCCGTGTCTCGGTGTCTCTCTGCCTCTGAACCTGATCAGTAAAGCTCATCACGTGTTATCTCCGTCTCCAAGGGGAAGTGGCCACCAAGCATCTCTGCCTTTACGCACGGACACACGTTGCTGCCAGGGGCGCGTCCAGGAAGTTTGCACCGCGGGCAGGGAGGGGGGCAGATGGGGGCCATGAAGCACCAAAACAAACTTTATGGGTTTAAATGAACATATTTGGTTGTCCTGTTGCCATAAGGATGAATGAATAAATAAATGCATTCTACAACTCATCAACACTTTATTTAAGTTTTCATATTTCTTTTTTAAAAAGCTGCAGCGTTTAATTTTTATGAAAAAATGTTTTTCACACATATGTTTAAACAAATATGTTTTTTTTTGTATGTATTTGAATAACAAAATGTTATGAAAGATCGATGCCTGAGCTGCTGTTGCTGTCTGACGAAATGCAACGCTCCAGATAAAAACAACCAATCACAGGCAGGGGAGGAGCTTAGCGCTCTCACTTAATCTCATGAACTCGCTGCTAAATGTTCTAATGGCGAAGAGACAACTCACCGTTCCAGGAAAACCGTTTATCCACCGTCGTTGGTGGCGATGCTAACTAGCCTTAGCATTCACAACAGAATCTGCTGATGGAAAAAGAAATTGTGATTGGCAGCGCTAAGTCCCGCCTCCTGGGTCTGATTGGTTGTTTGTAGTTAAGATGCACACTAGTTTTGACATGACTGGCCGGATTTAATCCATTAAATTTATTTGATTTTATTTTGTTTTAATTCCTCTCAAGTTATATTTTGCACCTTGTTTATTTAGGAATAATGCACAATGTGTCATTAAAGTATTTTGTAGGTTTGAAAAAATAATTCACTAATAAATTACTGATGATGTATTTATTTTTTATTCTTCTTTCTCTGTGTATGTGAAACATAAACTAATGAAACTAAATTTAACTGCTGTTTACTTTTTTCTTCATTCAGATCTACATATTTTATTTTCTAATTCAGTTTTCTGGCATCTGAAGCCAGCCTCCATGTCAGGATGTCTGGTCATGTAAAGGGGCTGGTCCAACTGGTCCCCTCTTAGTGGATCCACTGGTTTCTGGATCAGTTCCTACTGGTACCAAACCAGCAGCAGCAGCTTGGTTCTGTTTAATCTGTTCATATTAAAACTGTTTATTTAACAGTTTTATTGGAATATTTTATATTGTAACTGCAAAATATTCTAACAAGTCTTTATGAAACTTTGTAAATCGGCACTAAATGTTAAGTAAATCATCTTTAACTACCTTTAATTTGAAAAGTTGCTCTGAAATGTAATATTTAACCCAGCTGCAAATGAAACTGACAGTTTTCACTTTCAGCAAAGGCAATATTGACAATGAAACCAAGAACAAGCCTTTATTTCACCATGGAGGCGTTTAGAGATAAGAAACCCTCCAAGCCACACTTCAGAGTGGCTGCAGCTACTGAGTGGAGCGCTGATAAGGAGCCGCAGCCTGGGGGTCAGGCGGTGATGCAGCAGCCTGCGGGGTGATGCAGCAGCCTGTGGGGTGATGCAGCAGCCTGCGGGGTGATGCAGCAGCCTGCGGGGTGATGCAGCAGCCTGTGGGGGTGATGCAGCAGGCTGGGGGGTGATGCAGCAGCCTGTGGGGTGATGCAGCAGCCTGTGGGGTGATGCAGCAGCCTGTGGGGGTGATGCAGCAGCCTGGGGGGGTGATGCAGCAGCCTGTGGGGTGATGCAGCAGCCTGTGGGGTGATGCAGCAGCCTGTGGGGGTGATGCAGCAGGCTGGGGGGTGATGCAGCAGCCTGCGGGGTGATGCAGCAGCCTGGGGGGTGATGCAGCAGCCTGCGGGGTGATGCAGCAGCCTGTGGGGGTGATGCAGCAGGCTGGGGGGTGATGCAGCAGCCTGCGGGGTGATGCAGCAGCCTGGGGGGTGATGCAGCAGCCTGCGGGGTGATGCAGCAGCCTGGGGGGTGATGCAGCAGCCTGGGGGTGATGCAGCAGCCTGCGGGGTGATGCAGCAGCCTGGGGGTCAGGGGGTGATGCAGCAGCCTGGGGGTCAGGGGGTGATGCAGCAGCCTGTGGGGTGATGCAGCAGCCTGGGGGTCAGGGGGTGATGCAGCAGCCTGTGGGGTGATGCAGCAGCCTGGGGGTCAGGGGGTGATGCAGCAGCCTGTGGGGTGATGCAGCAGCCTGGGGGTCAGGGGGTGATGCAGCAGCCTGTGGGGTGATGCAGCAGCCTGGGGGTCAGGGGGTGATGCAGCAGCCTGTGGGGTGATGCAGCAGCCTGGGGGGTGATGCAGCAGCCTGCGGGGTGATGCAGCAGCCTGGGGGTCAGGGGGTGATGCAGCAGCCTGGGGGTCAGGGGGTGATGCAGCAGCCTGTGGGGTGATGCAGCAGCCTGGGGGTCAGGGGGTGATGCAGCAGCCTGTGGGGTGATGCAGCAGCCTGGGGGTCAGGGGGTGATGCAGCAGCCTGTGGGGTGATGCAGCAGCCTGGGGTCAGGGGGTGATGCAGCAGCCTGGGGGGTGATGCAGCAGCCTGGGGGTCAGGGGGTGATGCAGCAGCCTGGGGGTCAGGGGGTGATGCAGCAGCCTGTGGGGTGATGCAGCAGCCTGGGGTCAGGGGGTGATGCAGCAGCCTGGGGGTGATGCAGCAGCCTGTGGGTGATGCAGCAGCCTGTGGGGTGATGCAGCAGCCTGTGGGGTGATGCAGCAGCCTGGGGGTCAGGGGGTGATGCAGCAGCCTGTGGGGTGATGCAGCAGCCTGGGGGTCAGGGGGTGATGCAGCAGCCTGTGGGGTGATGCAGCAGCCTGGGGGTCAGGGGGTGATGCAGCAGCCTGGGGGTCAGGGGGTGATGCAGCAGCCTGGGGGTGATGCAGCAGCCTGCGGGGTGATGCAGCAGCCTGTGGGGTGATGCAGCAGCCTGCGGGGTGATGCAGCAGCCTCGGGGTCTCAGTGCACGTCTTGCGGCAGGATTCTGGACGCTGCCGTCTCCAGAATTCGGCTCCAGTTTCCACACAAAGGAAAAACTGCAGGATTTTAACGTCCAGCAGGAAAAAGGTTCGTCCAGCTCCAGATCTGCTTCATGTTTCTGATCTGAACAGCAAAATAAACTTTACATTTAAAACTCATCTAAAACTTCAGTCTATAGAAATGAAGATTAAACTGCTGCAGGTGAACTTTGAGATCAACGCTACCTGTGGAAATGAAGTTTCCACAGAAGTTAGATTTTTACATCTAACTTCTGTAAAAATCAAAGTAATTTCAAACAAATTCAATGTTGAATAAGGTGGACTAATTTACTGCTGCTCTCTGAATGTTGAATAATAATCTGAATTTGTGTCGTCTAGATGTTTCTGCTGCGTTTGAACTCTGGATGGAAAATCAAGAAGTTCAATTTAACTGAGGAAGTAAAACCAAAAGGGAAATATTGACCATAAAAACACAAATTTAAAGAGAAATCACATCACTTAGACTCTAATCCATCCATCCATCCATCCATCCATCCATCCATCCATCCATCCATCCATCCATCCATCCATCCATCCATCCATCCATCCTCTAATCTCAGTGTAGATCACTGTATCATCTGCATACAGTGTAATCCAGGATTTTATCTCTAGTTTGTTCTTTTCTTTCTTTCTCTAAATGATTCTGATGTTTTCTAACAAACTGAGGCTGAATTTGTTTTTGGATGAGAATAAAGTCAGTTTATTCACATTTTTATCCTCATCTCTTTCTTTTTTTTGTCCTTTCTTCAGATTTTCCTCTCATTTGTTTGTTCAGTCTTTGTATCTGCACATCTTTTCATGGCTAAAATTAAGTGGATGAAACAGAAAACATCCAAACTGTGATGATAACTTCCTGATTCTTGCCCTGAAAACGTTTCTGCAGAGTTTGGATCTCTAGATTCGGTTCAGTTCTCAGGATTTCAGATCATTTCTGCTTCTTGTTTTCTGGCTTTTTGTGTTTTCTCCACCCGCTTTGGATGAAGTTTGCTTCATTTCTTCACCACATCATGAAAGAACTGTTGACTGTAAAGCTCAGAAAGGTTTCCTTTGTTCAGCAGGCCCAGAGGATCTGGGCTCCTCGGTGGTTTGTGGAAGGAGAACCTGACCCGTTCGGACCACCGCAGGATGAGGATGTTTCTGCCGGGTGAGCAGCAGCAGCCGCTCCGACTCGGTGAAGCTGCAGACTAAATTTAAACGTCCTGCCGACTCTCATTGTTAAATTTAGTGCGAGCGGCTCGGCTCCTCGCTCGCTGCATGTCTGCTTGCTTCCACATTCCTGACAGCCCTCCATCTCCAGATACAGACCCTCCTCCTCTCCTCCCATCATCCCCTGCTGGAGGGAGCGCAGGCAGCTCTCCTCCCATCACACCCCTCCTCCCCTGCGGGCGGCTGCAGCCGAGCAGGAAGAGCCTCTCCGCCTGTCTCGGGCTGGTTCGGCCTGCTGCTGATGAAGGATCTGGGTGTTTCCAGCTCTGTCAGACATTTTGAGCTGCTCCTGTTTGTCTCCTGCAGCAGCAGCGCCGCTTTCACACCGAACCACCAGAACGCAGCGGCTCTCTGACACTTTTACTGAGTTCTGATAAAGTCAAGATGAAGGCAGTTCTTGTTTTCACTTCCTCCTCTCTGCTGCTGTTCAGTTGAGATGATTCCAGGTTTGGCCTGAGGTTTTCCTGCCGTGCAGCGTGTGGCATCAGAGCGGGCATCAGAGCGGGCATCAGAGCGGGCATCCTGCAGCGTTCCTGCCGGACAGGCCGGCGCGGCAGCGATGCTTCCTGTGGGACTCGGAGCTTTTGAGGAACTCGGTTCCCCGGGAGGAAACCGGATCTGAGGGGAGATTTAACCAGAACCAAGACGTCTGAGTCACGGCTGCTGCTGCTGCTTCTTTCAGTTTGACCCACAGATGTTTTGGTTCGACCTGCTGGAACAACAAGAGTTTATTAAAGCATGAACTCTGATCCCAGTTTGTAACCTGCTTCATCCGCTCCATCATTTGTTCACTTGAAGCATCAGAAACATTTTAATGTCTGGGGTTTTGTTCCTTTTAGTCACATAATCCATATTAAATAACTTATGGAAACTCAACATGTTGACGTTAAAATGAGTCAGAAGCTCAGAATCAACGGAACAAAAAGTCTCAGTTTGAGTCAAAAATTCACAAACTGATGTTAACATGATGAATTTTACTACCTGGAAGGTAAAACAGCCACGAGTTTGCTCTCTTAGTTAGCTTTCTGAGGCTAATGCTAGTCATGATGCTACCACTTTTACAACTTCCTGTAGCAGCTTAAGCTAGCTGATGTAAAAACAAACATGATAAATGGGATTTCATTTTGTGTTGGTTTGACTGTCGCCAAATCCCATCTTATTTCGCTGGGTTATGAAAATAATCAACAAGTTCAATAAAAAAAAGGTAAAATTTTCTTTGTCATGTTGATTAAATGCAAAAACTGAAAATTGGCCCAATAAACAGCATTATAGCTGACACAGATTGTTTCAATTTTACCTCAAATGTCAGTGAAACAGTTCTAAATAAGCACACACACACACACACACACACACACACACACACACACACACACCACACACACACACACACACACACACACACACACACACACACACACACACACACACACACACACACACACACACACACACACACACACACACACACACACACACACACACACACACACACACACAGGCAGACAGATAACATGGTTACGTCACTAATCCAATCACAGCCTTTTACTTCCCCATTCAGATTAATGGCCGCTCCTCCTGACGATGATCCACTGTGGATCCTCAACAGGCTGACAGGAAACGACTCAGTTCACTCACAAAGGACTCAGTTCACTCACAAAGGACTCAGTTCACTCACAAAGGACTCAGTTCACTCACAAAAGACTCAGTTCACTTCACACTCTGAATGTGTTTCAGAGAGAAACCAGATATTTACATTCAGCTGTGGTACATTTGTTATCTTTGTAACATATGAAACTGATGATATTTAATAATCTAATCTTTGTAGAAAATGAATCTGTAAATCTGTTCGTGTCTCTTTTTTCTGTTTGGCTACATCAGTCGCGCGGCGCTGCCTGTTCTTAGCAAATGTAAAAACAGAAACACTGTTACTAAAGGAAAACACTTTGTTTCATATCTAAAAATATATTCAAGAAGATTTTATTTGTAAAAATCTCACCCAGAGCTGAAGGGATGAGTTCAACTGGAGGGCCAGACAAAGTCATCCAGACGTCCCCATATGGCCCCTGGGCCACACTTTGGACATCCCTGGCTTCTCAGGTCAACAGAGAAGAATCTCAGGTTAAATCTGAGATTGAGGAAACTGACCCTAAACATGAAGACCAGAGGTCAAAGTTAAAGGTTACAATGGTCTAGTCAAAGTCCAGGCCTGGAGCTGACTGGAAATCTATATGAAAAGACTTTTCAGATTCTGTTTCACATCTGGTTGTCATGTCAGCAGAACTCCTCTTTATATTTTCATAAAGTAAACAAACGAAACAAAAAGCAGCAAAAAAACAAAGATCTTCTCTTTCGGCGCGTCCCACTCCAAACCTGTTCCTCTGCCGCAGCTCATTTGGGTTTTCTAATGAGCGCTTTGCATGTTTTCAGCTCTCCGCTGCAGCTCTGCGTGCGTTCACACACTCACCAAACAGAAACGCCGATCAGACGCTCAGTCTGGGATTCTGAATCTGCTTCAGTTTCAGGAAACAAAAACCAAGAAACTTTTCCTTCACATCCTGAGATCCAGAGGCAGAGGAGCGAGTGTGATGTTATTTATTGGACTGTAACCATGGAGCTGTTGCCCAGGAACAACCCATCGCACACAAAAGGGTGGATTCATCCATTCATCCATTCATCCATTCATCCAGAGGAGTTAAAGAGGAGGAGGAAGAGGAGGAAGAGGAGGAAGAGGAGAGGTATCCTGAGCTGCTGCTTTCCCAACCCAGAGGCTGCAGAGTTGACACAGTTGTTGTTGATGAAACTTTACACACCCGCCTCCTCCTCCTCCTCCTCCTCCTCCTCCTCCTCCTCCTCCTCCCTCCCTCCTCTCCTCCTCCTCCTCCTCCTCCTCCTCCTCCTCCTCCTCCTCCTCCTCCTCCCCCCCCTCCCCTCTCCCCCCTCTTCCTCCTCCTGTCCTCCTCCTCCCCTCCTCCTCCTCCTCCCTCCTCCTCTCCTCCTCCCTCCTCCCCTCCTCTCCCCTCCTCTCCTCCTCCTCCTCCTCCTCCTCCTCTCCCCCCTCCCCCTCTTCCTCCTCCCCCCTCCCCCCCTCCCTCCTCCCCCCCCCCCCTCCTCCTCCTCCTCCTCCTCCTCCTCCTTGGAGCGCTGTCCGGACAGGCAGGCAGTCACATGAAGCCAACACCTGTCGGCGGTGTGGGGGATGAAGAGCACATGCTGCTCCCGCTGCTGCAGGCCAGCAACAGCAACACATGTTCTACTGACCGACCCAACCAACCCGGCCCGGTTCGGCCCGGCGTCCTCCAGCGCAGCACAACACAGCCGCAGCAAACTGCAACCAGACGTGTTCTGCAGAGAGACGAGGAGGGGGAGGGAGGATGCATGAGGGAGCAGCAGGCGGGGGAGAAAAACCGGTTTCCAATAGAGACGGATGATTTGTAGGTAACAGTTGTTTGCCTTGCAGCCTGAGAGCGGCGAGCCAGAGAACCGGATCGGGACCAGCAACCGGCCGCACAGACCCACACCTGCTGAGGCACAAGCTCCAGATTACAGCTGCAGCACAAAAACCTGGAAACAGGTTAAAACCGCAGCACAAAAACAGAAAACATGCTCAAACTGCAACACTAAACCCCTGGTTAAAGCTGCAGCACAAACAGCCTGGAAACATGTCAGAACTGCAGCAACAAGAGGAACATGAATCACTTTTTGCTGCTGCATCACCTGTAAAGCTTCACCTGCATCATCGGCCTCCTTGTTCTGGTTTGAGCTGAAACTTTGTGGTTCTTACGGCTCGGCTCATCGCCCCCTGCTGGACGGAACCGGATGGGTCTTCCTACATCCTCAGATCAGAGACAGACAGATGGACAGAGAGGAAGAAAGACAGAACAGGAGGGTTTGGTTGTGTTGTGCTAACAGCAGAGCTCTCACATGTGGCCCTCTGGATGAATCTGTTTGACCCTCAGGTCGCAAATCTTCAGTATTTATTTACAACATTTCTGTTTTCATTTACTTTGACAGAAAACAAAAGTTGCCAGACTTTAGTTTCCAAACAAGGACAATGACCCCAATTCCTAAAAAACCTAAACCTGTCATTTAATGCAACCATGATCCATCGCGGTTGCATTAAACCGATTGTATTAAGTTGATTGTATTAAGTTGATTGTATTAAGTTGATTGTATTAAGTTCATTGTATTAAGTTGATTGTATTAAGTTGATTGTATTAAGTTGATTGTATTAAGTTGATTGTATTAAATCCATCATGGTTTAATAGTGGAATTTTTGTAATTCCACTATTACAAAAATCTGACTGCTGTGCTTTATTAAAAACTTGTCAATGTTGTTTTTTTCTGTTTTAATATGACAATTTTTAGATAATTTTGGCACTAATGGGCGACAGTTTTGACACCTCTGGGTTACCGTAGAGGTTCCCGCTCCGGTCCTCGCAGCTCCTGAAAAACCCCGCGTGTGTTTTGGTGACGCTGATGCGTCAGATACCGTTGCTATGACGTCGACTCACCTGTGGCTGAGGGGGGAGGGGAGGGGGGGTGACAGAAACACCGAGGTTCGTGTTGGTTCGGCTTGGTTCGTGTTGGTTCGGCTTGGTTCGGTTGTTTTGAGTTTAACATCAAAGTTCGGTTCTGGACCAGCAGGTCCAGACTGCAGTCAAGATGGCTGCTCGGATGGAAAGAAGCAGAAGCTGCTGATGATCAGGAGAAACCAGTCGGTCTGGAGTTCAGCGGACTGGAGTGACTGGGAGGAAGAGCGCTGCTTCCCTCTAGCGGCCGGATGACGTCACTGCAGCGCCCTGATCCGCCGCCATACTTCAACAAACAACAACCAGCAGAAACAGGTCAAAGGTCACCTACTGGAGGTTGAGATAAAGACTCAGCTGGTTTAGTTTGGTTGTTTTTTGTATAAACTGACCACCAAAATGAATTGAAATGTCACTGATGTTGGTCCAGATCTATTTCCTTGTCATTAAATTGTAAATCATGTTGTTTCTTTTCATTTTGCATATTCAACATTCTGGTTTTTGTGCAAAAGTTTAATATTTTTCTTCATATAAAATCTTAAAACAAAAATAAAATGGGTTTCAATAAATGTCCTGAAGACTTTCAAGTTGTCTTTTTAAGGTCATGTAACATTTGTTGCACTAAAAAAGGTTTATTTAGCTGTTCTGAAGACAAGTATAGCTTTTAAAGATTGTTGCAGAGCCTTTGCAGTAACTCAATTCTCTGAGGTTTAAAATAGTTCCTTGTAAAGATCAGTGAGACATTCAGTGCGTTTGAAATGCTTTATTTCTTAGTACACAGAATCAAAAGGATAAAATCACACTTGATTTGGTCAAAGATCATAAAACTGGTTCAGTTTCCATAAAGGAACAAATTTCGTCTAAAAGTTTGATACAGGCCCAAAATAAATCAGTAATTAGTTAGAAATTAGCTGCGTTAGTCAAATTTTCTCTGAAATTAAAGACAAAATAAGAACTTTAATTCTGTTAATTTTAACTGTCATTAAATGAGCTAAAGATAAAATCACAGAACAGTCGAGTTTTATAGATGAACCACACTGATATTAAATTAATGAAAACTGAAAACCTTTTTGCTGTTGTAACATAAAGTCACTAATCAAAATTAACCACTTTGTCCAACTTACCTTTTGTGTTTTTTTAGTGACACTTTTAGCTGGTAAAATTTAAGTGCATCTAAATTGTCTTAATGTGGAGACAAAGAAGAGGATGTTTATGAAGACATTTTGTGTTTCTTTACAATAAAACAAACTTTTCAAACTTTTAATTTCTGGTCCTGCAAATTAAAAATATCTTCATTCTTAATTAATTTCAGAATCTGTCCAACTTGTATCTTATTCTGAAATCTCCATCCAGAATTTATTCAAATTTCATTTAGAATTTACACAATTTTCCACCTGAAGCTTCTTTTATTTAACTGCTACGTTAATCTTTCAGATTTATGTTTTTGCATCTTCAGAGAGCGATTATAACCAATCAATTATCTGAACATGTTGGAAACACTGATCCTCAATCTGAAGTTTGATTTATGCATTTTGTTGATTTTAAGAATAATTTCCGATGATTTCACCACAGAAAAATGATCATGATGGATGTAATTTGTAGAATTTGTTGTTTCTTCTCACTGGACGAAAGGCCAAAGGTTACGGCATGACCTTGACTTCCACCATTGCCATCATCTAAAAGAAACAGACAATTATCATCAAGATGCTAATGGTACAACAATCTGTTTCCTCAGATTGTTGAATTTAATGTCAAATTTAAGGTAAAATCTCGAATATATAGAGAAGTTTTTTCTCAAGACATTTAGCAGAAATAAAATCGTTTTGTTTTCGTAGCTAAAACTTCATCAGATCTCAGCAGTTTCCTCAGGTTGAAGCAAATATTTAAGACTTTTGAGAAACATTGTTGGATTTACCAAATTCAGTGTCAAGTTTAGCCTCATAAAAACAAACTTTGCCTAAACTTTAGCTTTGCTATGTTTTTGGTAGATACGTTAGTTTGACATTTATAACTTTTAGCTTGTATTTTTCAAGTCTTTTCAGCTGCAGTACTTTAGACTGTTATTATTTGACATTTGCACATTTAGTAGGCTAATGCTGATGACTTAGCAAGCAGTAATCACTTTAGCTAATGCTTAGCTAACATTTATTGCTGTAAACTGATCAATCTTGAGATAAATTAATGTAGTTTCAACTGCTAACCAACAGTTTAAGTTTTATTATTTTCTGTCTAAATACTTATTTTTTTCTAAATTGAGAGAATCGGAACAATTTTAACCATTTAGCTAACGTTTCGCTAACGTTTAGCTAACGTGCCGGCTGCTAAATCTATTTCATAATAAGGCGGTGCATCAACTTTTAGCTGCAGTTTGATAAAAATGTAAGTTCTTATGTACTTAGCTTTGCCTTTTTTAAGTTAATGATGACAATAAATAATTTTAGCCAATAAATTCTTAATAAGTAACTTTTCAATTTAGCTACAGTTTATTGCTAATAGTTTAGTAAAACCCAATAATCTTTGGTTGTTTTAAACTTTGGCTAATATTTTATTTGATACATTTTATTTTTAAATACTCAGTTGTAGCAAAGAAGATTCTGCTGGCTAATCTTTTGACTTCATTCGACTGTAAAACTAATTCTGAGGTTTGGTTTTGAGCGAGCCGTTGTGGTGTTTACATCGGGCAGGTTGTCGCAGTCCAGCACCACCAGGAGAGTCTGGAGTCCGGGCTTCGTGGGTCTGAACCCGACCTTGTGGGATATTTGGCCCATAGGAGGAATCGTCCTGGGAGGAAACATGTTTTAAATATGAAACACAGGAAGCTGCAGGTGAGGCAGGTGAACCGGGTTTACCTGTAGTTGTAGAGCTGAGTCTCCAGCAGCCCGGCTCCCTCCATGGCCAGCTTGGCGTCGGTCAGGGGGAACCCCAAGGTGTTAGTGAAGGAAACCATAACGTACATGTCACGATTCACCTGAGGCCGCCCACTCAGCTGGACACAGACACACACAGCAACAAATCAGTGTGAAATCTTCAGACTGTTGAAGATTTCATGGATGTTCAGTCTGGGTTTTACTGTTATGTTCAGCGGTGGAAGCTTCAGGGCGATGGTCTTGACCTCTGACACCTCCACATCATCGGTTTGTCCGGTCACAGTGACCTCCAGGTTGCTGTTAGAGCCCAGCTGAGAGACGTACTCCTGAGGCGAAAGCTCAAACATCTTAATGCTACCTGCAACAGAAACACAGACATATCCAAAATGTCCCTAACCCTCTTTAAGGCCAGGGATCTGAAGCCAAAGCCGCTCACTCTGGAAGGCGTCCAGATCAATCCTGAAGTCCTCGACTTTCAGTGGGTCTGATGCGACCACGCCGGTGTAGTAGGTGGAGCTGATCTCCATGTAAACTTTCACAGATTTTATCGTCTCACTTTGGTTGTAAAAAGTCACTGAAACCCTCAGAGGATCCCCCACGTAGCCCTGGACAGAGAGGGAAGAGGTGGCAGTACAGAGTTAAGGTCCTCTGTTGTACTTTGGTCTGTTGAGGTCTGCCGGACACGACTACCTTGAGATAGTAGGAGCTACACAGAGAACCCTTGGCAGGAAACAGCCTTCACATTGAACTGTTTTATGTTAAACGTGAGAGTTTGTGCAACAAGTGGCAAGTAGCCACCTGACTGCCACAAAGTGGCACAGTGAAGAAGAAACAGAGCTTGGTGTCCGCCTAGCTCAGCAAACTAGCTAGCTTCCATTCACCTTGTGGAAAACAAAGGGATTTGTCATGAGAAATGTAGTTTTTTGGTATGTTGGACCATGAAATGTCAACCGTCTGTGGTCGGTACACTAAGTAGATGGTGGCTTTACCTCACTCACTCCCAGCAGTTTCATGTTACTCCAACATACCGGGCCGTACTTCACTCCTCGGTCTGCATGTACTCAATGCTGACTCAAAGCAGACGACCCTCATCTATGGTCCTGAGATTTGGGTAGAGACTAAAAGAACGAGATGATGAATACAAAAGGCTGAAATGAGAGCGTCTGGACTCTCCCATAGAGACAGACACTCAGACATCCAGGATGGACTGAGAGTAAACCCGCTGGTTCCAGAACCAGTTTATACCTGTTAAGTCTCCTGTTTTGGCTGAAAATGACCATATTTTACCTCTCTTTCCCACCGTGCTCCAGTGTGTCCCTTAAGTTTCCCATACTATAGTAATTATGTCTCACTACCCTTGGTGATGTCGTACAACTCAAAGTTTTATCTCCACGATGGATGGATCGATGGTTTCCTCACC